ATTTAACATAATTAAGAAATTACCTTGTATCTTGTATACTATTGACATTTTTAAAGATATAAGCACACCCCAACATTACACTCACCGAGACCTTTCATTTGAGTACCCACATCAATATTTCATAAATTTATATATATTATATATATGAATATATGAAAAATATATCAAAATGCATGTGGGTACTCAAATGAAAGCTCTTGATGAGTATAACATCGGGATGAGCTTATATCTTTAAAAACGTCAATAGTTAAGAAAGTACAGTGCAATTTAACAAAATTCATAATTTAATAAAGCAAAATGTTCTTTATTTATAGTTTTCAAGTCATGGCAGTCATATAGTGACTGCAAGGTTGTTAGTAGATAATATTATTTCATTTAAAAATTTTTTATTTTACAGATCCACTTGATAAAACTTACACCAACGGAAGATTTGATGACAGCAAATACGCAAGTTTTTATTCATTAATGCGTATACCGATGAATGGTATAACTCATGTACTGCTGTGTGAGAATGTATTAAAATCAATTGGACTTACGTATTTTTTGGCTGCTCTTACTGACTTATTTGGTGAAAAAACTACCAGCTACGAGGATGTTTTTAAAAATGAAGATGCTCTGTTCATTGCGCGATTACTTTACCATCATCAGATGATCATTCGAACAAATGCAGTTAAGGTATTTTTTAATTTATTTATTTATTTCTAATAAGAAAAAAAATTTTAAACAAGTTCTGTAAAGAATAATTTTTTTATAGAATTATAATAATTAATGAAATTATTGTAGATGGAACGAGACAACGAAAAGGGTGAATATAGGAGACACTCGGGAGTCATTGCTCCATTATTTAAGCTTGTTAACCACAGTTGTGATCGCAATGTCTATCACTTTTTCGCAGATGATAAAAATGCAATGATTGCTATACAACCGATTAAAGAAGGGGAACAAATTTTTACATGTGTAGGTCCACAATGGTTTGATATAGATACTCAGAGGAGAAGGTCAATTCTTCATTTGGATTATGATTTTCACTGTAATTGCTACGCTTGCAGACATGATTGGTGTCCTTCTTTTCGCTTCCCAACTTGTTTGGTAATTTTTTTTTTATTATTATTTAATTAAATTATTTGGTTTAATTTAATTCTAATATTAATAATTTTATATTATAAATATTTAATTAATAATTTTTTATTATAAATGTTGGATTTATAATTTTATTTTGTGATTAGGATCAAAATTTATCAAAAAAAGGACGAGAAACTGTTTTGAAAGTCAAGTCGATGGTCGAACGTTGTATTAGACCCTCACTATGGAATAAAATGACAATTGAAGACAAAGTAAAGGCTAACCTGCCGAAAAGAATCGCTTGTATTATAAAAGCTCTTAATATTCTTAGTAAATATTGCAACTACCCTAACAAAGAGCTTCTTGATTACAAGAACGAACTTTTTTTGCATTATCGCGCAGCCGAATGCTTTTAATCCTTTAATTTCTTCTATTTTATCCAGTATTTCTTAAACTTACTACATACCAATTTTTAAGTATTAATGTGTTCGCATGCTCAGTATTTTTCTAAGTTTAAAAAACAAGTACCTTCAGTAGAATAATTTTTTACTAAGTAAGTGTTGACAATTTTTATACCAGTACATTGTTCACTTGTTAAATACTCAAAGACTACTTTTATCATAGATTACTATGAAAAAACATTATAAATGTATAGAGTATTTTTCTACTGATAAATATAATAATGAATAAATAAAATTTTAAGTAAAACAATTGACAGTATCATATTGAACGTGTCAGATTTAAAAGTCGCGCTGAAATTGTTAAGTACTAACCTATACAAAAATAATTTTTATCATTTCAAAACAATACCGTGTTTATAACTATTATCAAATGTCATTAAAAAAACTGAAAGAATTATTATCAACCACATTTATCAGAATGTGGTTGAAACGTGGCACCGTAATCTAAGATTATTAAAAAAAAAATTTTATTTTAGTTGCAATAAAATGGTAAGTACAACTCTATAATATTTTTATTTATTTTATTTATTTACTTCCTAAAATTACATTTATGGGTGATTCTCTGTAAGGTAGTCTTAAATCTGTACAAAATTGTCCGACCAAGCTATTTTTGATTTTATTAGAAAAAAAAATAAATAAGGGCTACAAGACTATCAGCTTAATCATAATATGCAGCTTTATCAAGCTAATTATTTCAATGAATTCAACTTTTCAATGAAAGTTCTCAATGAATGTTTACATTAATTAGAATAATATTAAGACTTATGGATCCAATTTTATAAATAAATTATAAATAAAAATAGTTGCCAAAATAACAATTTTTCTAATAAAAAAACACTTGGGACAGCAAAAATATCCTTACAGAGAATCACCCATATAATGCCTATAGAGACAAATGATTGTCTGTAAATAGGGTAGAGAAAAAGAGATAGGCTTTTAATGCCTATAAAATTACAATTTACTTTTTGATCTATTTTATATTTTTTTTTTTTTTTACGCCTTATTTGAAGTAAATAAATAAAATCTGTAAAATAAATCCAAGCAATATATTATTAATAAAAATATTTTTCAGAAAACAAAAAAAACAAATCAATAAATAAAATCAAAATGGAAACAGAAAAAATTGAAATATACCAAAGCCTAAAAAGAAAATATTTAATAGTCTACCTTCTGGGTAACTTTGTCGACTGGATCCAAGGACCTTACCTCTATAAACTATATCTTCACTACGAGTACACAACAACAGACATCTCTATCTTATACATCACCGGATTTCTCAGCAGTGCAATCTCCGGTGTCTTAATCGGGCACCTGGCAGATAAATTCGGACGTAAAAAATTATGTGTCTTCTATTTTATCAGCACAATAGTCGCCTGTCTTTGCACAAACTACTCTGACCTGATGATGCTCCACCTGGGTCGAATATTCGGAGGAATATCAGCGTCAATTTTATTCTCGAGCTTCGAATCTTGGTACATAAGCCGTCACTTGTCAGCAGATCTTCCTCACGACTGGATGGGCTCTACTCTGGCTTCCTCAACTTTCTACAACGGTCTGCTAGCGATCGCTGCCGGAATTTTAGCCTCAATATTAGCTGACACACTCGACTACGGACCAGTGGCTCCATTTATGTTCACCATTCCAGTGTGCATCCTCAGTGGGCTCATCTGCATGACTACCTGGCGAGAAAACAGCCATAAAAAAGTCTACTCAAATTTACTGCAAGGTCTAAGTGTCATTTTCCGGAACGACGGCCTGTTGATTTATCTCGGGCTGATCCAAACGCTTTTCGAGACAATAATGTACACATTTATTTTCCTCTGGACCCCAATTCTGGACCCTATCCAGCTGAGCAATGGGTTGATATTCAGCTTATTCATGCTCTGTATAGTCTTCGGCAGCGCATTGCATTCCATTTTAGTAAATTATTACCAAATAAGTCGACTGATGCTTCTTTGTTCCAGCGTTGTTCTCGCGCTATTCAGTATTGCCGTCAGTACAATAGGTATTCACGTTCAAATGCAATTTGACGGCGAGCAAATAGGTACTTATATATGTCTAGTATCATTTTTGATATTTGAAATCTCAGTTGGAATTTATTACCCGGCTATTGGTTACTTACGCGGGATCATCGTACCAGAAGTCCACCGGACGAGTGTTGCCAATTGGTTCCGCTTGCCGTCTAATTTGTTAATTTGCGTGGTATTGCTTTATATAAGAATTGGAGTACCTGACAATCGGTTGATATTCGCACTCAGTGCAATGTGCCTGAGTATTGCTTCACTTTACTGTGTCGAATTTGTTAAAGCTTACAAGAGAGATTATTCCATTATTAATGAGGATAAGTGCGTTAATCATTCTAATCCAAAGGTACTAATCGCTTAAGGAAATTATTATTTTTTGATGAGTACTGTCTCAAGATAGTATTATTAATTAAGTATTAAATTTTAAAAGTATAGAAGACTGTTGGCTAGTAGTTTAGATTCTAAGCTTTAATTTTTGTTAAGACTTCAAGTTATAAACAATAAAAATCATTTATTATATTTAATATACAATATTTTAATTATTCTATTAAATAATATTACAAAATAACTAATAAAACCTCAATTATTGATGATACTGAAATTAACAGACATTTGAAAATTAGTAGAATTTTTATAACACAAATTATTTATAAAAAAAAAATATTTTTTTTAATTCTCACTTATAATTTTTGGTAATTATTTACAAGTGAGGTCCACCCTATTTTTGGCCATATCTAGGTGAAAAATTAACATTTTTTTTTTTTATTTTGCTTGTTTTTACAGCACAATTAAAAAAAAAGTCGAATATTACAATTTTCTAAAAAATTTATAAATTTTTTTGAAAATTTGTTAAAATTGTAATAATAAACTTTTTTTTTTATTATTCATTTTTTATGTATTTAAAAAAAAAAATCTCGTTTAAAAAAATGAAAATTAAAATGTTGGACCCCACTTGTATCTGAAATTTTTTTGCTAAATTTTTTTTATTGTAAGTCAATTGTAAGAATTTTTAAGTGTCTGTTAAATTCAGTGCCATAATTATAATAAAAATCACCACTATAATTGAATTAAAAAAGTTTCTAAGAATCTTATTTCTTATAGAGTAACAAAACTTGATCTTTTCTATGATTTTTGTCCATGTCAATTTGTTTGAGTCGCGCATAAATAGCAGATGCACCTAAAACGATAAAATTACTAACCCACCAAAGCCACTGTCTGGACTCATTATACCAATAAGAGGCCAATACAGTCTGAGCACAAGCTTTTGCTGTCCCACTGATGTTGTGCGTCAACGGAGAGGTCACTTGAATTTGCAGGGTTGTAACATAACCAATGGCGAAACCACAGAGGCCACCGACCAACATTTGGAGCCAAAAGTCCAACTCGCCGAGTTTCTCGTAGTTCAAGAGCGTATTGAACTCGTCGTTGTAAGCCATCAAGGGAATGAACAGGAAAATACTGTAGGCGTTGTTGTAATAAGAGAGCAGCCAGATTTCTTGATTAACCAGCGGTAGTATTCGCTTAGTGTAAATTGAGTAGAGTGATAAACTCAAGGATCCTAGAACTCCGAAGAATGTTCCGATTATTGATAGTGATCCTGCGATGTTTTCTTGGTCTACTCCTAACCAGAATCCTCCGACTATCGCTCCGCAGCAAACGATACATCCAAGTGATGTTTTTTGACCTTTTAATTTATAAAATTATTTATTAATATATTTATTGGAATTATATGGGGCATTACATGCGAAATGGCAAAATGACAAAAATTTTTTAATTTCTCTAATTAATTCTAATGTTTTAAAATACTTACCGAGTAAAAAATAAGTGAATATTACATTGAATACGGTTGTCAGTGATCTTCCAATGTAATAAAATGCAACTCCAACATATTTAAGACACAAATTATTACTTGCAATCATTGAAGTAAATAGAATTGAAAGTGGAAGAATCTATAATATAAATAAAATTAATTTTTTTTTATTTATATTATAAAATAGTATCAACTTTTTAGGGCCAGTTTTTCAATCCAGAATAAAATTTTATCCAATAATAAAATATATCTATATATTTCATATATATAAATATACTGGCAATAATAATTTTATCCTGAATAAAATATTATCTCGTATTGAAAAACTGGCCCTCAGTCTTAAACTACTAATTTTTTTTATCGACAATGAGTATTTGATTACTTTTGCAAATTTAAAGAATAAATAAACTACCTTTTTGATGTTATTAATTGTATAAGGATTGCCATCTGGAAATGATATAGCTGATGGGAATAATTTCGCTAACTTGCTAAGAACAAAACAGATTGTGACACTCGTAAGACATTGGAACCAAGTAACAAACATTGGAGCATCTAGACTCAAATATTTACTTGATAATAATGTTTTGTTGACAAACACAGTTAATATTGAGATCACCCTAAGAAATAAAATAAAAATTATTTTAGTTTAATGAAATCACTTATTACTTTTTTTTATTTATATAAAAATATGATGAGACTAACCAATAAATACAGACAACGGTAAAAATTTTCATGTACTTGCTCAGCAAAGTGTCGTTGGGCAGCATGATGATTTAAATATATTATTATACACTATAATTACTGTAAATTTATTAAATTAATTATTTTTAGGACCACATCCTTCTGTCCTCAATTTTCTTGTGACATCGTCAATCCTCTTGGAGTCTTTCGGTGCTTTGTAATTGGAGACGTGATCCACTCTTATCGTCCGTCCTAAAATTTTGACACCGTTTAAATTGTCCACTGCTAAAACAGTGCTTCGCTGGTCCTCGTAGCACAAAAACCCGTAACCTTTTGGTTTTCCAGTGTCTTTGTCTCTCACGAGATTGATGTTAACAGGCTCACCGTATTGAGAGAAAATAGTAATTACATCACCTTCTGTTAAATCGTAGGAGAGACCGCCGAAAAATATCCAGGCACTGTCTTTATACTGGTCGTGCCATGAACTAGTAGACTCTCTAAGCAGTTCCTGCTCACCAAGTTTTTTTATGTTTTTGACATTTGTCAGAGGATTCATGGCATTTAATCTCCAATTTAATTGTCAACTTCAGCGTGGTTTTATCTAAGAACCTGAATCGATAAAAAAATATTAGTAAAGGTGTTTTTTTTATTTGAATACTGTAGATAAGAAATGTTTTATCAAAATAACAATAACTTACACGTGGCAAATGAACATAGGCAACAATAAATATTTCTTTAGGTTTTGCTTGATAATAATAAGCCAACTAAACCTAACCTTGATGTGTTATGATAGTCAAGAAAGTTAGTTTGAGATTTACAGCGCCTCTAGTGGAGAAATTAGAAAATAAAACTAGCGCGAAAATTCAAATCGGAAAATAATTCGAGAAAAAATAACAAAAAAAAAGATAAAAAATTTAATTAATTAGTTCAATGTACATATTTGATTAATTATAAATCTGAATAAAAAAAAAGTAAATTGTAGAGAAATATGTATAGCACATTGTTACATAACACCCAGATGTGTTTTTTTTTGTTTTTTTAGCGTCTGCCTCCGTGGCGCAATGGCTAGCGCGTTCGGCTGTTAACCGAAAGGTTGGTGGTTCGAGCCCACCCGGGGGCGATCTTTTTTATCGACTCAATCAATAAAAGATAAATTTTATATAAACAATCTTGATTAATTGATAAGTAATTTAAAATTTTTTGTAAATCGATTGTCTCCGTGGCGCAATGGCAGCGCGTTCGGCTGTTAACCGAAAGGTTGGTGGTTCGAACCCACCCGGGGACGAATCTTTTGCCAGCTGTTTAAATAATTTGCAAAAAAACGATTAATGATGAATATTTATTAATCCACCTGTAATTAATTGTCTCCGTGGCGCAATGGCAGCGCGTTCGGCTGTTAACCGAAAGGTTGGTGGTTCGAACCCACCCGGGGACGAATCTTTTGCCAGCTGTTTAAATAATTTGCAAAAAAACGATTAATGATGAATATTTATTAATCCACCTGTAATTAATTGTCTCCGTGGCGCAATGGCAGCGCGTTCGGCTGTTAACCGAAAGGTTGGTGGTTCGAACCCACCCGGGGACGAATCTTTTGCCAGCTGTTTAAATAATTTGCAAAAAAACGATTAATGATGAATATTTATTAATCCACCTGTAATTAATTGTCTCCGTGGCGCAATGGCAGCGCGTTCGGCTGTTAACCGAAAGGTTGGTGGTTCGAACCCACCCGGGGACGAATCTTTTGCCAGCTGATGGCAGCGCGTTCGGCTGTTAACCGAAAGGTTGGTGGTTCGAGCCCACCCGGGGGCGATCTTTTTTATCGACTCAATCAATAAAAGATAAATTTTATATAAACAATCTTGATTAATTGATAAGTAATTTAAAATTTTTTGTAAATCGATTGTCTCCGTGGCGCAATGGCAGCGCGTTCGGCTGTTAACCGAAAGGTTGGTGGTTCGAACCCACCCGGGGACGAATCTTTTTCATCTGTTCTAAAAAATTGCAAACAGATTAATTAATTAATTATTATTATCGATCGATTCGCTTGCTATTGATTGTCTCCGTGGCGCAATGGCAGCGCGTTCGGCTGTTAACCGAAAGGTTGGTGGTTCGAACCCACCCGGGGACGAATCTTTTAGCAATTTGTCAAAAAAAATATATCCTGTAGAATTCTTTTAGAAAATCAATACTTATTAATTGATTCCAAGTTGTAATTTAGAATCAGACATCCAATTACTTAGTATATGCTTTCACAGTCTGGTAGTTAATTGTTGGATCCAACGCGTAATCTTCAATGAAGGTCGATCGTGGTTATGGGTCCAATAAAATCTAAATTTTTTCTGAAAATATAAACTTTACTTTACGTTTCTTTCCCAATTTATCCATTCACTTCTTAATTATTTTTTAGTCATAGAATTTGTTACATAAAAAATCAAGACTGACGTTATAATTATTTTTTACAAATTTAGTAATTATAATTTAATACTTAAAATTATAAATTTATTTGGATCATAATTACAACACATATTCATTGATCAGAATATCTGTTTTAATCGTGAATTACTTACTTAAATTATCATGTAGAAGAACATAACGCAAATTCAGTTCATTTCTTCGACTTTACTGATTTTTTAAATTATTTTCTTTCTGATGAAAACTTTTTCTTTTAACTGAAGTAAGCTTTTTATTATATTTAATGAGATTTCACAAATAACCTATCAAAAAAATTTGACACTTACGAACTCCATAAAAGAAATTGCGTTTTAAGTGTGCGAAACTTTGACACCTAATAGACATGTATATTGATGAAGTAAAATTTAGGAAAATAATTTACTTAATAAAATTTTGATTAAAAAATTTTTTTAATAATTTACTTAAATAATAATTTTTAATGTAATTAAATGCAAATTACTTAAACAATTAAATATTATATTGAACAATTTTATTATTTTTGAATAGAACTAAATTTATAGGCGGCAGCACTAAGCGACTAATAATAATAACAACAATCATATCTATGACAACAAAAAATTAAATGACATCTTGAAGTTTTGTTCTATTTGTGATTTCAGAAAACAAATCTCTAAAGTGATAATTAAATTAAAATAAAAATAAAATCAAGATGAATCGATTATTCGGGCGTGCAAAACCAAAAGAGCCAGGTCCAAGTTTGTCTGATTGTATAGCAGGAGTAAGTTCTATAATTATATTTAATTACAAGTTAGGTTAAAATGACCTTGCTGGTAATGATTCATCCAAGATGAAAAAATTCCATTCTTAATAATTGCTAAAGACAATTGAAATTAATTTTTCAACTGATGTACAATAGGTAGACAGCAGAGCTGATGCAGCTGAAAAAAAGATCCAAGCTCTAGATGTAGAGTTGAAAAAATGCAAAGATCAGATGCTTAAGATGAGAGACGGCCCGTCTAAGAACGCTGTTAAGACCAAAGCGTTGAGAATATTAAAACAACGGAAAATGTACGAGAGTCAAGTGTCAAATCTGAGACAGCAAGCCTTTAATATGGACCAGACCAATTATGCTACTCAGTCATTGAAAGACACTCAAATTACTATTGCAGCTATGAAAGACGGGGTCAAGAGTATGAAGAATGAGTTTAAAAATATTAATATTGATCAAATTGAGGTAAAAATCGCAAGATAGATTTATAAAAAATTTATCAATTTCTTTATTAATATTTTTTTACGCTTAGGATGTCCAAGATGACTTGGCAGATATGCTAGAGCAATCAGAGGAGGTCCAGGAAGTTCTTGGTCGTAGCTATGGCACACCTGAAATTGATGATGATGAACTTAATGCTGAATTAGATGCTCTAGGCGATGAAATCGGCCTGGAAGGCGACGGTTCATTTTTGGATGACGCTATTACTGCTCCCAATGCTCCCGACAAAGAACCTGGTGCTGCATCTATCAGAAATAAGGTTGGTTGTTTTTTTAAATAATATTTTTTAACCCGTAGTGGTCATTATGGGATAACACTAAGGTTAGCCGACGTTTTTAATTATTAAATTAGAACTAAAAAATATTTTTAGAAAATTGCACTTTCAGTTACTCGAGTTTTTTACAAATGAAATTTTTTTTTAATTATTTTGTAATAGTTGTTTTTAATAAAAAAAAAATTCTAAAAATTTTTAGATGTCGGCTAACTTAATTTTCATCTTTATGGGTCTAAATGACCCCAGGCAATTTTTGAGTTGCTCTTTCTTCGAAGATATCATTCAAAATAGTATCTTTGGTACCATTTATTATTGTTTGAAGATTTTTTGAGATGGAAATTTACGATTTCAATTGCACAAATCAATATTCTGCCCTGTTATGACAAAACGACGTATCTCGAGATATGCTGTTTTGTCGTAACAAAGCTAAAAAGGTTTTTTTAGTGTCACTTAATGATAGGGTATTATCCAAATTTTTCTAATTTAATTAATTATGCCAATATATTGATTAAATATGCGTATAAAAGAAATAAAAAAAAAAACATATCTGTTTTGTATTGGAAATTAATATAACATTTAATTCTTCGAGTTACAGAGTTTTGTCATAGCAATTTCATTTATTTATCAAAATGAGCATTAGTTTCTTAAGATAAAAAAACGTATCTCGAGTTACAACGTTTTGTCATAACAGAAATGAATTTTTCTGTTAAATTGTACTCAAATTCTGTGAAAACTTTATACTTTCGCTATTTTCTCGAAACTATAATTTTCAAGATACGTCGTTTTGTCATAATAGGCCAGATATACTTTTTGAAATTGCGATATCCTGAGTAGAAGCCCAGAGGTCATTTTCATTTATCTTAAAAAAATGAAGTTTTTTAATAAAAAAAAAAAAAAAAAAAAAAAGTCAAATTTTTCGAAATTTGACTTTCTCGCATTTTTTTTTTATAATTAAACAATTAAAAAAAATTTTAAAACGATTGAGTTATTCAACGGAAGTGTTAAGAATTACTCTCATGTACGTCTCGAGTGAAAATATTGAAAAGAACGCAAGTAGCAACAATTTTTTCCGTGCATGGGGTCAACTAGACCCAGTATGACCACTACGTTATTTTTAAAAAGTGTGGCCACTACGGGTTAATAATTATTTTTAATCATTTGATGCCATTCATTTTTTTAGGACGGAGTTCCTGTCGATGAATTTGGATTACCCCAGATACCAGCTAGCTAAGTCAATTTTAAATTTTAATCTATTCAAGTCACTACTAAAATTAATTACAGCTTTATGAAAATGATGTAATCAATTTTCAGCTTTATAATAATTACAAAAATTCAGTTTATTAAAATAACAAAAAAAAGTAATAGTAGAAAAACTTTATTATCGAATAATACATAATTAATATTTTTTTCATTTTTAAAGTTTATTAAAAAATATTATAATTCTTTAAATTTAATTAAAAAGTATATTTAAATGAAGACCAAGTGTGTCTGATGATAAGCAATTATGTACAATGTTTAACCTCAGTAATCCAAAATAAATATATTTTTTGCCACGATAACTTATATTTATTTTTAATTTATTATCAATTAATTCATCATTGGTTTTTGGCTATAAATATTTTAATTATATTTTAGAAAAATAAATAAAAAATAGTTTAATTGACCTAATTATAATATTATTTAACTTTAAGTCGAGAAATGTTGTGTGGCATTTGCCGTTCAACTTCTCTGTACCGATCGCAGACGACTTTAATACTTTCTTTCGCTTCATCAAAGTGTTCGGCCTCGAAGCCGTCGACTTCCAAGTAATGATGTACATGTGCTTTGCGTTGATACAGTTTGTCAAATTGATTAATTATATTCTTTAGCATCAATCGCATTGACGTTGAATTGAGAAGACACAAGAGAGACGCGGGATGACCCGCTGGAGGTACATTGCATAGGCCTATTTTCATAACTTCTTTACTCCACGGTGTAAATTTAGCCTTATTCTGAAATCTAATTTTTTTATTTTTTAGTAACTTAATTTAAAGTCAATACTGATAAGAAAATTTACTGATAAGTAATTTAATCACAATGAGTTAAAAAATATTTAATTATATTGATTAAATTATGCAAATTATTACCTCTGAATATTTCTTATCATATCATCCATGGAACAATTACCTCTGGCAATGTGGCCAGCACTAATTATCACAGACTTTGGATTTAATGGATCCAATTTAATTAACTGATGCGAACGAGACCATGCATTCATGAATAATTCATCTTGTACCCTATTATAATATTTTACATGTTAAAATTTTTCCAAGACTTTTGCAAGAAAGATTTAATTTTTTTATAGACATGAATAAATTATTTGACTTACTTAGTTTTTTTAGTAATTGTTAATTTAGGAGCAGTCATTGATATTGGGCTAACACTGCTGAAAATATAATGCAATTGTGGATAAGGCACTAGATTTGTTGCTAAATCATTCATATCAGTATTCAAACTTCCAGGAAAACGCGCTCCACTGCAATAAAAAAATTAAACATAATTTACAAATAATCTATATTATTAAGAGAATAAGAAAAATTTTGTTTCTAGGATAATCATATGATAAAATCGGTTTATTTAGTGTCATTGCAAAGGTCTTGACTTGAATATGTACCTTTTCAAAGTTTCATTTCATTCTCACCGATAGTCAATTTATGATGATAAGTATTTAGGCTGCATTCAAAAATACTCTATCTCTATACATAATTAAGAAATTACCTTGTATCTTGTGAACTATTGACATTTTTGAAGATATAAGCTCATCCCGATGTTACACTCATCGAGACCTTTCATTTGAGTACCCACATAGATTTTTCATATATTTATATATATATTATATATATATGAAAAATATATCAAAACGCATGTGGGTATTCAAATGAAAGCTCTTGATGAGTGTAACATCGTGATGAGCTTATATCTTTTAAAATTTCAATAGTTAAGAAACTACAGCGAAATTTAACATAATTAAGAAACGACCTTGTATCATGTGAACTGTTGAGATTTTTAAAGATATAAGCTCATTTCGATGTTACACTCATCAACACCTTTCATTTGAGTACCCACATCAATTTTTCATATATTTATGTATATTATATATATATGTATATATGAAAAATATATAAAAATGCATGTGGGTACTCAAATGAAAGCTTTTGATGAGTGTAACATCTTGATGAGCTTATATCTTAAAAAACGTCAATATTTAAAAAAGTACAGTGCAGTTTAAGAAAAGTCATTTAATAATGCATAATATTAATTTTCTATAGTTCACAAGTCACGGTAGTCACATAGTGACTGTAAGGTTGCTAGTAATTAATTACAAGAATTACCTTGTTAAATGTAGTAACATATTTACAACAATACTATTCATATCTTGGAATGGTTTACAGGTAACGTTATAATTAAGCTGATCAACATTATCCTTTTTACAAATCTGGGAATTGCAGATGTCGAGCAAAGCTCCATTATCTGCTGGAAAGACACAGGTCGCGTGATCAATTAGTTCTTTGCTGGCAAGCAAGACGTTGTAAGGAGCCGTAATTACATCCTGGGCCGCCGCTGGATGGACACTGGACAGAAATTTGTCTACGTGAGGGTATTCATCGGCAAGAAGACTCAGAGTCGCTGTTCCTAGACCGGAACCTGTTCCACCGCCCAGAGAATGGGTCAATAGAAAACCATGAAGACTATCACACCGCTCTGCGGTTTTTCTTATTGTTTCTTCGAGTTTGTCGTGGTAATTTCTGCCATGGGTGTAATATCCAACAGCCCTAGGAATAAATTTTCTTTTTTTAGTCATTCTAAAATTTTAAATCTATTCTTATAAAATAGTTTTTTTTTCATTACCAGTTGTTACCTGAACCAGGATAGTTTGTCACAGTACAAGTTTGGTCAAATAAATTTCTCAAAGGACCTTGTTTATATCTTGACACCACGCTGTCTTCCATGTCTATTAAAACTGCCTGCAAAGTTTACGAATTTTTATTTTAATTTAAAAAAAGACACTGAAGTTGACAGACATTAGAAATTTTTTATAGTAATTAAATTATTGTGAATAAAATTTAAATTAAAAAATTCTACTTGTAGAAATTAAAAAAAAATTATTAGGGGACATTTTTATTATTGTTATTAATTTGTCATAAGACTATGACATTAAAGTTAACTGTCACTTGACGATTTCTTAATTTTTTTAACAAAAAAATTTGTTCCAAAAAATTATATCTAAAAAATTGCATTTTGTATTTTTAAAAATTTGTATATGTCAATTTTTAATAATAATAATAAAGTTAGCCGACATTTTTGATTTTTTTATTTTACTTAATTTATTAAAGTATAACTAAAAAATTGCACTTATAGTTTTTGAAGTTTTTGACAAATAAAAAAATTTTTTTGTAATAATTTTTTAATACAAAAAATCATAAAAATTTTTAGATGTCGGCTAACTTTATTTTCATCAATTTTTTTTTGCTACAATTTATTTGATATAAAATTATATATTAAATGTATGCTAAATTAATTTTTATCAAATTCTTACCCGTGCTTTAACTTTAGCCGAATTCAAATCAGAAATTCGCTTGAAAGAAAATTTTCCCGAGTTATCGGGGACATAAAAAAAGCTATGAAATGCATCAGCTAGATCATCAATATTTTTTTTATGATCTTTTTGGAATTTTAATTGATTTACACCTCCGCTTGATGTTTCTATGCCATACTCGTGCAATGCCAATGGCCAAAATGCACTTCCAATTTGATTTCCACATTGTCCAACTAAAAAAAAAAATATTATAACACCACAGAACTATTAATCACAATGTTTAAATAATTATAATTAAATAAATACCTTGGACACAAATAAATTCACTCATAATGAATTATGTCATAGTTAAAAAATAATATTTCCAATTAACCTCTTTTTTTGTCAGAATGTAAAATCAGCGTGGTTGTAATTTTTCCCGCCTTTTGTCCTATAAATATACACAGACATATTAATCAGCTGATTGATGGAATAAGTAATGTTGTTCCATTAGAAGTAAACTGTGATACATAAAACTTTTTTTATCCTTGTACGTGATCAATTAACTGACAATATACTTAGTAGATAAAAATTAGTAAAATTTTAGTACATATTTGGAGTTTAAAATATTTTAATACACGTGGAGCAACCTTCGCGGTAAACTGATGGCATTGTTGTGAAAATCCAGTTCAAGATCAAATTATAGCTTGATAAATAAATAACATACTCGTTAAAAGGTTATTAAAAATATATATTTACCAAAATGACTGACTATTATTTTAATAATAATTCAATGGTGCTCGTTATTTTTTTACTCCTGCATATTCTAGCAACTGTTACAACTGCTGATTCTCGTGAGTTTTATTTTTTTTTATTATTCTAACCTTCAAATTTTTTAAATACCGGCGTTTTTATTTTATTGATTTTATGTGTAATTGTTTTATAAAAGTCAAGTTAGCTGACATTTTTATTTAAAAAAATTTTTTTTTAATAATTAAAATAGAACAAAAAAATATTTTTTAAAAATTGCACTTAAAGTTTTTAAAGTTTTTTACAAATGAAAATTTTTTTTCCATTTTCTTGTAATAATTTTTTTAATAAAAAAAAAAAATTCTAAAAATTTTTAGATGTCGGCTAATTTAATTTTCATAATTGATTTTCGCTTTTTTTTTGCAGTTCACTATTTAGAACCTGGCGATTCTATTGAAAATTCAGCGCCTGGTTTACGGATTTTTTGTCATAATGCTAAATCAAAGTATTTTATTCACACTTGGAGAACACTTATCGTAAGAATTATTTATTTATAAAAATTATTTAATTTTTATTCACAAAATATTTTACTAGAAATTATTTTTAAGTTACTCTAGATTGTTCTAGTACACAGTAGAAGTAATTTTGTCCGTCACGTAAATTCATTGCTAAAATATACGTCTATATTTCATACATTTACAAGGACATTTTACACGGACTGTAATTCTTAAAATTATAGTCATTAATTTGCATAAGAAATTTTTTAAAACTTCATTCTTTACTGTCTAACTTTTTCTGCTACAATTGTTTCAATAATTTTAAATAATAAAAATTTTTTTAGATGAATTTGCACACAGATTTGGATACTTACGATTTATACGATGGAAAAACACCAGCAGAAGTCATTGAAAAGCATGACATTAATCAGAGGTCCTGGAAATTTAATTGGTTTGGCACAAAAAAAAGTAAAGAGCTCCGAATCAATCCTTTCGAAGACACATGCATCGGGGTATTCACCTATCCGTATAATAATTATCGTTACAAAATGTCTATGAAGTTAATAAGTAAGCTAAATTAAATTTCAATTTATTTTTGACGAATTTTAAATAATTAAAATTTTTTTTTTTTTCAGAAATTGATTCGTGGAAAGTATTAATGACTATTGGGGGCACACTCTTGTTTTGGAGTGCAAAAAAATTAAGTAGAAATACATTGTTCTATTACTTGACTGGAGTTACGCTGGGAGTCATGTTTTCAGTTTTGATATTGGTTTGGTTTGTTGGTAAACTGTTGGGTCGTGTAAGTTTTAATTATTTTAAGGAGGAACACCACTATGATGGTCGAAAAAAAAGGTGATTTTCGGGAATTTTTTTGACAGGGAAAATAAAGGAATTTGGGGATTGGATTTTTTTTATTTTATTAAGGGTACATTAAAGATTATTACCCTAAATTTTTATGAAAAAATATTTAGATTAGATTTATTTTATTTATGCCAAGGTCTATTGGCCGAACGGCAATAATAAATCCATATTTATGTTTATGCATAATTAATTGATTTAAACATGTAGTAGCTTATTTACAAGGTATATTATTACAAAGTAATTAACAATTTCGTAGAGCACTAGAAAAAATTTCCACCTCCGTGGTCGCATCGATAACTCAAAAACGGATCATCTAAAAATAAAAACCCAAATTGCTTTTTAATTAGTAAGGATGTGGTTATCGTTGTATGTACGGAATTTTGAAAATTTTAATTTTCAAAAAAATGGCGACTGATTGAAAATTTTCTTATTAATTTTACTGTTTTTTTTTTGTTTTAATCCGGCTAAAAAAAAAATCTTTAAAATCAAAATTTTAAAATTCCGTACGTGCAACGATAACTACATCCTTACTGATTAAAAAACAATTTTTTCTAGTGCTCTACAAGATTGTTAATAACTTTGTAATAATTAAATATTTTTTCATAAAAATTTAGGGTAATAATCTTTAATGTACCCATAATAAAATAAAAAAAATCCGCTCCCCAAATTCTTTTATTTTCCCTGTCCAAAAAATTCCCGAAAATCACCTTTTTTTTTGACGATCACAGTGGTGTTCTACTTTAAAGAAATTTTATTATTATTTTAAGACTTGAGAAGATTATAAATGTATTTTATTTTAGGGAAAAACAATGTATTTGATGATTGGAACTGGATGGGCGATGAGTTCATGGCTCGCTCGAGTTCTTTGGGAAAATGCTCAAATTATTTTGATCCAATACAGAGATTATGTCACTTGGTATCTTTTGATAACGTCTTTAATAAGTTTTCTCATTTGCTATCGAATTGGTCCTGTTACTAATGACAGAACTAAAAAAATTATTCAGTGGTTTTTACAGGTGATTATTTACACAAAAATATCAGTTTTATTTTTGTTATAAAATTGAAAATTTAATATACTCATAAATTTTATTTTTTAGGCCGCTGGGATGTTGATAATATATTGCAGCAGTTATTTTACTGAAGCATCAATATCATTTTGTATATTACATTTTTTAATTTACAATTTTCCGATCGTCGTATACCACAAAAGTAAAAGTTACTGGTAGGTTTAAGTTACTGCGATAAATTGTTATTTTTTTTTATACTCGCTCCGTTTATTTTGTATGAATAATTAATTATTCTATTAATAAACTTTATTTATTTTCACTAAAAAAAATTGATATTTTTATTTATTATTTTATTATTATTTACGACTCGGCAGGAAAAGAATGTTTCCTGAACGACGGAAATTATTAACTGAGAACCAATATCGGCTCCAAGCAATCCGAGAAACTAACAAAGCATTGGATGAGTTGAAAGGATACTGCTCGAGTCCTGAATCAAATCCTTGGAAGACTGTCTTGCGGTTAAAAGATCCAATAAGGTAATTTTTATTGCCCTCGGAATTTAATAATAAAAAATAAATTTTTAAATTTATTTTAGGTTCGCAAAATTTATGGAGGGAGATTCTCATTTATCAGACCACGAGACCTCGGAGCACGATTTAGAAATAACGAGATTAATTGAAGAGTGTGAATACACTGAAGATGAATATGATGATGATGATTACTGAATAATAAAAATTAAATTCAAATAAAATCAGTTGTACTTAAAAATTATTTATAAGTTTAGTCGAGTGTAATTGTTTATACAAAAAAAAAAAAAAAAAAAAAAAAAAAAAAACCTGAGCTTAATTATAATCATGTTAAATGTTGTACATATTTGTCATCTCCGCCATTAATTGAACACGAAAATTAATAAAAATATTTTCGTAAAATTTTTATTTGTTATTGTTTATTTTTAATAATATTATTAAAATATAATCTTTTAAATATTGTATAACATTTATAAAAAATTGTGAGAGGTATGAAGACTTTAAGGCACCATCTTACGGTTAATAACCGGCAGTTAATTTGGTAATTAATAATTAATCATTAGATCATTACCATTAATGTATTAGTAGTTAAACTTACTGAGTAATTTGTTTGTTATAATTAAGTAGTTAGTCTCTGTAAAATTTTTAGCGTTGATAATAAATTTCTTTAACGCATTCGAGAAATTTTTTTAGTCTTGTCATTTTCAATTGCTGGGGGTGGTCCTTTGACACTTTGGTGACGATTATAAACACTGAAAAATTAAAAAAAATTCAATTTTAATAAAATCTAATTTTTAATCCATATTTTCATCAATAGTCAATTTATGATGATAAGTATTTATGATGCATTTAAAAATACTCCTCTCTCTAGATACATAATTAAAAAATGACCTTGTGTCTTGTGAACTTATGACATTTTTAAAGATATAAGCTCATCCCGATGTTACACTCATAGAGACCTTTCATTTGAGTACCTACATCAATTTTTCATATATTTTGTATATTTATATATATTATATATATGTATATATGAAAAATATATCAAAAATGCATGTGGGTACTCATATGAAAGCTCTTGAAGAGTGTAACATCAGGATGAGCTTACACCTTCAAAAATATCAATAATTAAGAAATGACCTTGTAGCTTGTGAACTATCGACATTTTTAAAGATATAAGCTCATCCCGATGTTACACTCATCGAGACCTTTCATTTGAGTACCTACATCCATTTTTAATATATTTTTCATATATACCTACATCAATTTTTCATATATTTTGTATATTTATATATATTATATATATGTATATATGAAAAATATATCAAAAATGCATGTGGGTACTCATATGAAAGCTCTTGATGAGTGTAACATCGGGATGAGCTTATATCTTTAAAAATGTCAATAGTTAAAAAAATACAGTGCAATTTAACAAAAGCCATTATTTAATAACGCAAAATTTTATTTATTTATAATTCATAAGTCCCGTCAGTCACATAGTGACTGCAAGGTTGTTAGTAAAAAATATATATATATCTTTTAAAGTAACTTACTATTTATAAGTTTCAGAACGAATATAATCCATGACATGAGATATTCCAACTTGTAATTGATCACCGATAGGTGTAACCCATGGATTGAACTCCATTCTAAAAACTGCTTTATTACTGACTAAATCAAGATTACCGATTTCTGGAGGAAGAACAGTCAAACGATTTCCTTGAATGTGTAACTCTCGGAGTCGAGTCAGTTCGCCAATTTCTTTTGGTAATTCTATTAAATCATTTTCACGAAGAACTAGCTGTAAATATATCAAATTGTCATTATATTTATTTCAAATAATAGAGTTGAGAGTAAATACTTACAATTTGAAGATTTTTCAGATGACCGATTTCTGGGGGTAAATATTCAAAGTCGTTGTCAGCGAGATAGAGAGCTCGTAACGTTTCTAAAAATTAATCTAATAAATATATTTGTAATTCAAATAAGTATAGAAGAGTTGTCAGTTTTTTTTTTACCCATCATAAAAAAGTTCCCAGGTAAGTTTTTCTCATGGAGATTGTTGTAAGTTAAATCAAGCACTTCAAGAACTGGGAAGGCACCAAAACCTCTTGGTAGAACATCCAATCGATTCATCCTGTAATAATTATTTTTTTCATAATGATTTCTGTTATAAAATTATAAAAAATTTTCTGTTAACTTCAGTGTCATAAATGTAAACATACCCAACATTAAGTATTCTTAATTTTGGCATCTGTGATAAAGAAATAGGCAATTCTGTAATGTGGTTGTTAAATAGATTTAATATCTCCAAGTTTACAAGATTTGCTAGCCCTGGCGGGACAAGTTGGATTTTATTGTGACTCAACGTCAATCTTGTGATGTTTAACATATTAACTGAAACAGAAAAAACATAAAAATTAAATAATACTAAAGTTAGCCGACGTTTTTAATTTTTTAGAATCTTTTCATTTATTAAATTATAACTAAAAAATATTTTTAAAAAATTGCACTCGTAGTTTTTCATGTTTTTTTACAAATAAAAATTTTGTTTTAGTAAAAAAAATTTTTTTAATTTTTAGATGTCGGCTAACTTAATTTTCATAAAATTAAATAATACTAAAGTTAGCTGACGTTTTTAATTTTTTGGAATCTTTTCATTATTAAATTATAACTAAAAAATATTTTTTAAAAAATTGCACTTATAAATCTTCAATAATTTTACATATGAAATTTTTCTTTTTATTATTTCGTAGTAATTTTTTCAATGAAAAAAGTTCTAAAAATTTTTAAATGTCGGCTGACTTAATTTTTATAATATTAATCATGACAGTTACAGTTTTGAAAAAAATAAAAAAACCCCCACGTGTGATTTTGAGTAAGAAAAACAAAAATAAATAATGAGCGCATGCGTAACCACGCCTCTACAAAATAATCCAGAATGAAAAAAGCATGTGTCGTCATATTTATACATATAATATATGAGGGTCAAAAAAGTTGTCGCGACAAGATACCAAATTAGGCTCGTCCAGCGAACCTCCGTACAAATATGGAACACCAACAAGTACTCACGCAAACCAGGCATCTCCTCAAAGGTCGATACATTTTTATCTGCGAGATCAAGCTCAGGATTTTGGATTTCCCGAGCTTCATCAAGGATCTTCTTGGCCTTTGACATCTTGGTCGTAGCAGGAATACACGATACTGGGGCTTGGTTCATTGCGCGCGCACTTAACTTACAGTCTTACAGCAATACACAAGTAACCACAAGTAACCAGAAGTAACGTCGGGTATCGTCTTCCGTCAGGACTTTTAAATAAACTGTTTACACTGCTTCCACCTAACCATCCACCTTCCATCACTTCACTTACTTGCTGTCTCTTTTTCTTCTTCACTTACTTTTACCTTCTCTTCTCTTCTACTCGACTGTCAGCGTGGTTTTATTTAAACTTGCTCAACTCCGATTATCCGTTGAGAAATCCCGCCTACTTTTCCTTTCGCGGGTAACGCTAGGTGTCGCCACTTGTCTTGAAATTTTGAAATTAAATTAATCAGTGCTCCATATTCTTCTGTATGACCTAATAACATGAAACTCAAGTTGACAGACATTAGAAATTTTTTTAGAATTTTGTAGCAATTAAATTATGAAAAAAAATTATAAAAATTAAGTAAGCCGACTTTTAAACATTTTTTAATTGTTTTTTATTAAAAAAATGACGACAAAAAAAAAAGAAAAAAAATTTTCATTTGTAAAAAATTTTAAAAACTGTAAGTGCAATTTTTTAAAAATATTTTTTTGTTCTAATAAAAAAAATTAAAAACGTCGACTAACTTTAGTATCATCAAAAATTTAATTAAAAATTCTAATTATCTTAATTATTATTTAGTTCTAATTATTAAATTAGAACTAAATAATATTTTTAAAAAATTGCACTTATAGTTTTTTTAATTTTTTAAAAATGAATTTTTTTTTTAATTTTTTATGACATTAAAGTTAGCAGTCACTTAACTTTTTAATTTTTTTTAACAAATAAATTTTTTCCAAAAAATTATTTAAAAAAAAAAAATTGTATTTTTATTTTTTTAATTTCTACAGGTCAATTTTTTATCTACTTTTTTTGCCATAGCTTATTTGTTTAAAAAAATAAGGCTAACTTAATTTTCATGCATATATTTAATAATTTAAAAAATTGTAACAAATAAATTATGGCAACAAAAAATTAACATCTGGAAATTTAAAAAAATAAAACATGCAATTCTTTGAAAACAATTTTTGAAACAAATTTATTTGTTAAATAAAATTAAAAAATTGTCAAGCGGTTACTAACTTGAATGTCACTTTTTTTATTGTAATTAATTTGATGACACTGAAGTTAACAGACATTAGAAATTAAAAAAACAATTTTTTTTTAATTAATTAATTTTTAAGAGTTATTAAAAATTTTTTTAATATGTAAAAATTAATTAAATCTTTAAAAACATTAAAAAACGAATTTTTCAGATTCTCAGACAAAAATCATGAGTAATCTTAATTATTGTAATTAATTATTATATGTTAGATTTGACATACATAACTGTAAATTTTACAATAGTATAAAAAAATAGATATGACTTCCTGTAATCTAGTGGCGCCACAATAAATTGAATTAAATTAATAATATGCTCATTTAGTTATTAATATTATTTATGAAATTGATAATTATAATAATTAGTTAACTTTTTTGTTTCAGATAAACGTTAGAACGGTAGACTTAAATGCAATAATGCATAAAATAAATTCTTGTGAAATGAAATAATATTAATTCAGGAATCATTAAAATTCATCCGGCAGACAGAAGATTGTATATCAATGTTTAGGTTGCATTAAAGAATATAATAATAAGAAGAGAAGAAGGATGATGATAGTTGGATCTGTTGAGTGCAAGGGAATAAGAATAAGCGTGAATTACAATAAAAAGAGTGTCGGTCGACTCATGGAGTGCTCGTAGAAGACGACTAATGAATTCTTAGGGATGGAAATAATTTCCAATCGAAGAGAGTTATATCCGAGAAATGTACACCGATAGCACTCCTGTCTCCTGTGTTACATATTTAGTATATACATGTATAGAAGTAGTATTATATTTAGTACGCGATGATACTTTTATATATTTATTTATATTATCTTTTTATGTTTTTAGTGTAATTTCTCTATTTCCCGTCTCCGTCTCACTGACTCGCCGATTCAACGATACGTACGACAACGACGCCTTGGTGATGATGGTAATCCACAATTATAAGCCGATAACGAGCGAATGACTTGGATATCGCGGTGAACTGGTTTTCAATAACGTTAACGTATATCTATTTTTATTTTTACTTTACCTTTTTTTTTATCATACGTATGCATATATATATATGTGGATATGTTTTTTAATATTTTTTTCAGTTTCTTCGCCCTGTACTGGTGATATCCTGCGGTTGAAACGGGAGAAGCGCGCATTCCACGACAGCCTCCGTGCAAACTTGTGCAAACGCATTATCGGCCTCCATTCTACCTTTAAGTACTTATTTTTTTATTTTTATTTTCTCTTATCACAATGTCGAAAGATCTTATGATTATATTGTTACTTAAGGGGCACAACCAGTGTGACAGTAAAAAAAGGCGATTTTTGGGAATTAAAATTAAAAAAACTCCTGTATGAATTGTTTTAAAATTTTAAGGGTATATTAATACATATTTTAGGAATATACAGTAAAATTTTTGAAGAAAAAAATTAAATATTTTTGGAGTTACACGCAATCTCCGACGGCGCTAAAAAAATAAAGGTCTTCCACTGCTGGAGTGATTCCGGCCTTCTCCGTGGATAAAACCAAAAAAAAAAAAATTCTCGTTAAACTAGAAGATATTGTCCGTACGATGACCCACGGTCGAAAAAAAATATCAAAAATTGACAAAATGACGGCGTTAAAATAAAAAAAAGTTGAATTTTACCCAAAATTTTGGTCGTTTTTGGCCTGCCGAAATTCGATTTTTGATCAGATCAAAAAACTGGAGGGTCATCGTATGGAGAAAAACGCGTTTTTCTGTAGCTAATGCAACGATCTAACTGCCGAGCGACTATTTATATGGCTGTAACAGGAAAAATATTTGAGATATTTAAAATTTGAGTATGTTATTTTTAAAGGTATAATCTATCGAAATATGAAAAAAAAAATCGATTTTTTGAAAATTTCACACTGGTTGTGCTCAATTATTATTTATCATATTTTGTTTTTCACGTTAAAACTTAGCAAGAAGAAATTGAGGTTATTTTTCATATCTCTTTATAGTTTTGATCTCTTGACAACAATTAAAAATGTTGACTTTTAAAAAGATAATTATAATAATTAAATAATTTCCCGTTTATAAAAATCAACAATCATATGTATAATTATCAACTATCTTGAGAAAATTTATCGTTTAAACGGTGAAGAAAAATTTTGCAAAGTATTATTTTTCAAGTAAATCGAGACATGAAGTTAAAGTCATTATTGACAGGGTACTAATTATCATTACTTTATGTTATATTATTTACTGAACTTTCTTAATCTTGAAAAGTTGCTTATATAATCAAATAAATATCCAGCGTAGACAATAAATATAAAATGACAAAAAATAAATCGATAAAGTTTGGGTAATTTGTAACTTGTGCGATAATGTTGGAAGGTTATTGCGGTTTACCACGACTATTTAAACCTATGTAGATAGTTTACTTACACAAAAATACACGCTCAATAACGAGTAAGTACGGATACATTATCCAGACGTGTACATCTGCCGTTTATAGTCAAGCTGGCTACTTCCACCGTGAATTATCCACTGGGATCGAAATAGAAGGTAATAACGTACGCTCATTTATAATAACTATTAAAAGTATTAATATTGTATTTTTATATTTTAATTTTTAGGTATTGAGTATTGAGTAACAGTTACCGACTCTGTAGTTATTTTTATAATTTAATTCTTTTTCTTCTTCTTCTTTTCTTCCTTCTTCTCATCTTAATCTTTTTACGCCTGATGATCGAGACTCGGTGTCTGAGTGTCCGGACCGGTCACGGCGTCAGTAAATTGACCGATAATGTTACCTGGCACTGATTACCGGATAGTAATGATGGATGCAGTCCTCTGAGATACATCCTCCTCTCTCTTCTTATTCTTCTTTATCTCTATCTCTTCTCCCCGAACATCAGGAGTTTGAATCTTCTTCTTTTCATCTGCAGCTCCACGTGGTACCACTAGGTCTAAACCTGGCACGGGGGCTGTCCTTTTAGTCTTCACTTGCTGGCCAAGGTCGGTAACCTAATTCTTTTTCTTGATCTTCTTCTCGGCATCAGACCCTCGGGTACTCTTTGGCGCCACTCACTCCTTCATTTTCAACGCTGGGGAAACTAACTGATGAATAAACCCTTTGAGCGATAAATCGTCACACTTATTCAACCATTTCACGCCTGTAGTCTGGAAATTTAGTCTATGAATTAATTTGTACGCTATTATCAGATATACTTAAACTTTCATAATTTTTTTTTTATTAACAATTTTATCTATAAATATCATCAACGCCCTCCGTAAGTGTTTTACACAATATTATTTTATAAATTCAATTTATTCATAATTTTCAATACAACTACTTTTTATTTCTAATTATTTCAGCATCAATTTCTGGTAATTTACCATTACAACAATTAAACATGGAATTTAAAAATAAGTGAAAAAATAATAGACATTAATGCACTGGTATGATTAAGAAAAATAGATGACCCGGTTGATGGAAGACTTCCTACTGGAGAACTGCGAAGAAAATTATTAAGTAAGTTAATAATTATTATATCGAAATTAAGACAAATAACGATATTTATGATTTTTTAACAAACTAATTATTAAGAAAATAAAAAAAAATTTTCACATTGAAAAATTAAAAAATAAATTATAAATAAAAATTTTTTTAACCCGTTGAGGACACACGGAGTCCAGTGGACCCCAGACGAATTTTGAAGTAATTTTAAATTTAGAAGGAGATTCATAAATGAGACGTTTTATTGATATTCTTGAAGATATTTCTAGTTTTTTTATTGAAATAATTATAATAAAAGAATTTTATGACAAAAACTAAATCTTTCTAACTTCAGAATAAATATATTTTTTTCAAACTATCAAATATTGATTTTTTTCTTTAAAATATATTGTTTTTCGAATAAAATGGCGTCAGTTTTTTTTTTTTTTTTTTTTTGATATCTTAAAAATCAAAATTTCTGCGACATTTTTTATATTATTTTTTGTAATTATTGTGTTTTATTTGCATAACTTTACAATTTTATGCAAGTTTTTTTTTTTATTTTTAAGACATAAATATTAGATAGATATTAGAAAGTAAAATTTTTAAACTTTTTTAAAAAGTTAATAATTATTAAATAAATATAAAATATTTCAAACGTTTTTTTAACTTTTTTAACTAATATAAACATTTTAAAATATTATTTTTTGATAACAAATTTTTTTTATAAAGAAAAGTTCAATTTCGTATATTTTTTTTTCTAAACGATTTTTCACTATTTTTAAATTATTAGAAATTAAAAATAACTATTAAGATATTTAGCAGGAATTATTTTATTAAAGTTTGGTGCCAATTATAAGTCAATACGTTACATAGGAAATGAATTAGAACTGTTTTGCTGAGTGAGGTTCACTGGACCTCGTGTGTCCTCAACGTAATTTTTTCGACGTGTGTCTTCAACGGATTAATTATTTTCTTAGTTCTAATTTATTTGTTAAATTAAATAAGGATGATAGACATATACATTTTATGGGTGATGTTTGCTTACGCAATCCCGATAACTCCACAGCCTACACGCGTTCCAGAATTTCCAGTAGTGAGTGATGTTTCGTTTCCACCTTTTCCGAGATCGTCTTGTCCTGAATGAACAACCAAAGAGCGGCCAATAATGCTGTTGAACCCACGAAGAGAAATTATATTGTCGTAAATGTTTACAAAAGCTACGCCATCCTTATTTGCTTCAACGTTTCCAAGATCTCCGACATGTCTGTTGGCATCCGTTGGTCCTCCATGGTGTTTCTAAAATCAAGCAATTTTATTTAAATATTTAAAATTAATCATCATCAATATAAATTACTAAAAAAATTAATATTTACGTTTGTAGGATTGAAGTGTTCTCCAGCGCTGGTACAGCCGTTAGAAAGATCTCCTTTTTGGTGGACATGGAAGCCATGTAGACCCGCAGTGAGACCGGTAATATTTCCATAGATTCTTACTTGTCCAGTGGAATCATTTTGAACCAATGTAAGATTTCCAGCGACGTTACTGTTTGCGTCATCAGGAGAAAACGTCACAGTTGCTATAATATCTCCACTGACCGCCGTAGCAACGAATACCAGTATTAAAATGATTGATTTCATTTTATTATATTTTGTGTGAAAAGAAAAAAAAAAAAATCGCACAATTGTGTTCAGCTATCTACGCGATACTGAAAACGTATTCGATAATGTTATATGCGTCGTGGAGATAACGTGAAGCCTCAATGACTATCTTAGTCTACCGGCGTTCGAGTTAACTATAGACAAATGCAAGATTTATGTTTTTAAATGATGGAAAAAAATAATACTTATTAGCAAGTAAATAACAATAAATCACACGTATGTCTGATGGATACAAAAACAATGAAATTATATAAGAAGATCAGAAATGTATAGCCGAGTATTATCATGAATTATTGATAAAATAATTTCAAGTGTCGCATACTTATAGCTTCAAGTGACGATTCGCTCAATAAATATTTATATACTTTCGCAATGATATATTGCAATATTCTGAATACTATTTGTAGTGCTGGTAATAACTTTATTCAATATGCTGAATAAAATTAACGAAAAGACAATAAGATTTCAAAATTAAATATATTTTTAAGTTTTTAATTAATTAAAAAAATTACATTTAGCAACTTGAATTGATAATTATCTTTAAGTCCATGTAAATGCCTTAAAATCAGCCATTTTTTAAAAATATTTTTAAAGATGATAAAAACAGTTTATTGTTTTTAAACTTTAACACAACTTTATTGAACCTTTCTAGAGTATTTTATTTTTTCCTCTCATCAGTACACGCTCAACATACTATATTTTCAAATTATCGAAAAAAAAAATCGATTTTTTGAAAATTTTATATGGACTTCCCCCCTTAAGTTCTTCAAAATTATATACTTGATTTAAGAACATTTTTTTTTCTGTGTACATGTGGAATTTTTTTACTAAATTTTTTTCATTATTATTTAAATGTTATAAAAATCTAAAAAATTGTGAAATGTCTGTTGATTCAAGTGTCATAATTTTTAATTATTATTAAATTTATTTTTTTTCTGTTTAGTCAACTTCGAGATTTTATTTTTTCCTTTCGTCAGTACACGCTCAACATACAATATTTTCAGATTATTAAAAACAAATTGATTTTTTAAAAATTTTACATGGAATTTCCTCTTTAAATATGATGACTAATGTATGATTTTTTTTTTTTCAGGTAATGTAACTACTGTTGGGACTTAACAGGAAGTAAATAGTGGAACTTAATGCTAAATAAAATGAAATGATGTTATTATTGGTGCTAAGTAGATAATAGTAATAGTAATAGTAATATCTAGTAGAGGTATCTTTACAATTAAAATGCCAGTCATTTAAAAATATATATTTAAGATGAGAGTTACAACCGTTACATGATCCAGCTTCTGTATTTCGGCGCCAACACTCACGTCAGGTGTATGTTTAAAAGTGTTTTTTAAATAAAAAGACAGAGTGGAAGTGGAGTTGGAGTTGTCCAGTAGTATTGCTGCCAGCGGGAGACCCCCGGAAGCTTTTGGATCTCGGTGATCCTCAGATTCGATTAATATAATATGGTATTAACGTGTGTTTAAATTAACGCATTTCTGAAGATTATAAGAGTTGTTAAGCAGTAGTTGTATTAGATTAATCGTGAAATCCGATCTTTGGACTCTGTTAACTCTCTTATTATATTATAAAAGAGCGTAGAGTACAGCGAGAGGTCCGAGCTTGTTTCTCACGTGGGGTTTTACCGTAAGACCTCGCTAATGGTCACATACTGCTGTTGGTTCCTGCTTCTGATCCCGAGTCAGAGTCCTTACTCCTTACTCTTATATATTTAATATAATATATAGGCATAGTTGAGAGTGTAAGGAGACTCGAGGCAGCAGAAGGGTCAACAAATACGAAAAGTATTAAGTAACCAGCCAAGAGGCGCAAAAATAAAATTAAAATATCGGTAAAAAAAAATACTAAGTAAAATAAGATAAGAAGATTGTTCGACGCGTGCAACGGTTCCTTTTGCGTGCGTCGATAATTCTCAAGGACCTTTCGGGACCTCGAGAAGTATATGCATGCGTGTCATACATGTATATGTTATGAGATTATTATGATTATGATGATGATGCCGAGGTGAAAGAAGAATCAGGTAATGCGAAAAAAAAATATAAAAAGAAAAAAATAATAATCTGGATATGGAAGTAAAGTGTGAACCAGTTATTGATTCGCCTTCGCTTGATCTTGGGCTTGGGCTAGTTTTTTTTAAATGAAATCTGATGATGAGTTATCTAACAGTTATGTTCAATTAAAATTGATTAGACACGGTCACTCTAATTTTGTAATTTCGTGGATTTAATTTGCATGAAGGATTTATGTTGAGACTTGCCGAGATTTATTATTAGGAGAGTTATTTACTTTGGAGATATTCCAATTATTCAAATTATATTAATAATCTACGCCTATATTTTTAAAAAGATTACATTCAAATTTTTATTTTTATCAGATAATTCTCAGCCATTGAAATAAAACCGTTTGGATAATTGATAATTATCTGAACCGTGTATTACATTTTACGATTTCTCAATGAAATTTTCTTTAGATCAGATCTCTTAAAAAGTGAGTCAAGATCTAGATAAAAAAAAATGATAGTCTTATTGTAATTCAAATAAATAAGTGAAAAAGTGACAATGCACTATTTAAAATGTTTAAGGTATACACGGAAAGGAAAATTTTTTGACTGGAGAACAAAATTCTTGGCTCAAGAAAATTTTCGGGTGCCTGAAGGAAGACCAAAGTTTTTTTGGCTGGAATAAAAATTTTTCTTGAAATTCTATTCTTGGTCGAAGTAATTTTTTCTTAATTCAAATTATCATAAATACTTGATACAATAAATTTTTATATTTGATCAAGATTTTTAGATACTTTAGGGAAGCAGCGCCACCTACTCCAGGTGAGAAAAAAATTATTCTCACCCTGAGAAAATTTTTCTCTTGAATATTTGATACCCATTTCATATTATTTTAGCGTGCAATTATACATATTGAATGAAAAAAAATGATTCAATATTATTTGATCTTCCCATTTGAAATGTTGATCAATAAAAATATTCATGAAAATTTATTTTTATTTTTATATTTAATTTTTTGGAGCAAGAGAGAAATTTTCTCAAGACAAGAAAATTTACTTCTATCAAAAACTAAATTTTTTGGAGTAAGAGAATTAATTTTTTTGGAATAAGTGAAATTTTTAGTGTCAAAAAAATAATTAAAAAGAAAAATATTTTCTTGGCTCAAGTGAACCTTTTTTTCTGCGTACACAACAAATTCTACGGGTAATTGTTCCCTCAGATTGTTAATTGCAGCACTTGATAGAATTTACGATCGTAGTTCTTCATAAAAGCCATAAGATATAATATAAAGCTTTTGAGCATGTATTACCAACAGGAGAGTATATTCTCATATTCTCATACTCGGTTGGTTCCAAGTTTATGAACGGACATTTGTTACTGAACTCAAATGACTTGGAGATCTTTTCCACTTCATTGCTTTATTCTTTTATTATTATTGCTATTTTATTAGTAATTCGCTCAGGTACAGACTATCATCTCATAACAATAATAATAATAATAATAATAATAAAATTAGTGGCAGGGACTGCTAAATACTGATCATATATGTACTTGTAAACAGTATTTATTTCTGTATTCTGAGTACACCAGTAATAATATACTTATATTATTAACTTATATATATATACTATTAACTATTACTATTACAGGATAATGTATGGTGTGATGTTATATATGTTATATATGTCACAGACACGCGGATTATTTACTGGATAAAAGACAAGAGCGTCATGAGCTGGCAATTAAACGAGGAAACCAGCCCGAAATGATTAGGAGGCGGCACGCATATATCAATGGTTAACGTTAAATTATTAACGCGGTTGGCGCCGTGTATCCATCTTAGTAAGTATTACACAGGATATTATATACACACATATTAGTTACACACCAGACCGATAAACTTTTTTTAAAAACAAAAGTTATTTATCCAGACCGCTTTTTGTAACTCGCTCAAATCATCGACTATCATTTTATGATTAATTGTCTGAATATTTATTATCAGCAAAAAAATAAATTAAATAATATATACTCAGACGATTATTCATCTGTTAATTAATCTCAGCTTGATATTTTGCTATTGCAGGTCACAATTCGATTCAATTTTGATGCATTTTTAAAAATATTTTTAAAGGTGGTAAAATAATTTTTTTGTCTTTAAATTTTAACACAACTTTATTGAACCTTTCTAGAGTAATACAAAAACAATTTTTTTTTTTCCTTTAAAAATGGCGGCTCAGGATAATTTTCTGTTTACTCCCTCCGATGCGAGGTTCCAAGCTGCTCTATTTATCACTCATTAATCATTGATTTGAAACAAAAAAATTAGTGTTTTCTTTTTAGAACATATTAACGGAAAGGATAAACCTTTAAAATAAAAAAAAAAAAGTATAAAATTTAATATAAAATACTTTTGAAAAAAAAGTCAGAATTTGGGGCTATTTTTTGACCTCAAAAAAGTATTTTATCAACGCAAAATATCTAAAATTTTAGGTTTATCCCGGTAGTAATATAGAGAAAGGCCTCACCAAATTTCAAACAAATCTAACGCACTATTAAAGATATTTATTGAAATTTTTAAATTTGTACATCAGTTATTGCAATTGCATGATTGTAAGTGCTATTGTAATTAAATGTATAATAATACGTTTACAATTCCTCGCGAGTTTTGCTTAATCGTATCAAATATTGTTTGTTATTATAAATTTATATAATTTTTACATGTTTTAGTTATTGTTTTATTTTCTTAGGTCAAAAATTTTTTATTAAAAAACTTAAATAAATATAAGTTATGCCAATCATTATAATAGCTATAACTTCGTCAATACTCGAGATTTTATTTTTTCCTCTCGTCAATACATGCTTAATAACATACTATATTTTCAGATTATTAAAAAAAAAAAAATGATTTTTTGAAAATTTTACATGGTTTCCCCCTCAAAGTCTGGAAAATAATTTAAAATTGAAAAAAAATGTTTTTTTATTAAAGTTATATGATTATCGGGGAAAGTGTCAAGTTTTTCCGGTCAAAGGCGTGGCGATAAGGCTGATAGAAGTAATCACACGTAGTTTGTTAGTGTATAATTAAATAGGACGTATG